CGTACAGATCATGCATATCTCTCCTAAATGTTTCTTCTAGGACCCGATCTCTCAATTCGTATATAAAACACCAGTTTTTAAACCTCGAATCTTTATACGATTGGCTTACTAACTCTTTCCTGTCTCCATCCATATTTTCAAGGTGTCGGGGCCCTTACTCGTTTCAACTATACGAAAGAAAGTCCGTGGCGTGAACAAATGGGCAGATCCCGAATAGATCATTTCCGTGATCGACAAATGTGACGTCATACAAAGAAAATAAATATATTTGGATGCTTTTCTATCTTCGTCATCCTATGAAGAAAAGAGTTTTAAAAAAAAACTACGTCTTTATTTGATAGCGCCTCTAATTTTGTAGAGAACAGATTCTTGTGCATATCATACGTGGAGCGTTAATACAATTCTTCCCTTGTCTGCGAACCTTCCACGTCTTGAGATTTCAATACTAACTTCATTTGGTCGTACCAAGACTTGTACTTCTCATATACATGTAGAATATAAATAAAATATATTTTATTCTGCAGATAAATTTAATTGAAAGTAACAGAGAGTTTTTAAAAGTTATATCCCCCCCCCCCACACACACACAAACACACCATCCTCCCCTTTTCTTTATCATGTTTATATAAAGATGAGTCTTAAAAATTAACCGATATTAAAATCGTCGCATAATCCCATTGCAATTTATCTATCTATTTGAAAAGTTCAAACATTTGCCTCCTATTATTTTTATATGAAATTTCACACTTGGAAATGTACGTGCATCATATCGCCCATGCGATTTTGTGCGAATTTGATAACACAATTCATATCTCCTTGGTAAACAACGTTTCATCTTTCAAATATAGTTATAGACACTACCCAGTGAGTACCTTATATATCCTAAATGAATCATAATTAAGCTACACAACAATGAACATGAATAATCATTTTATTTAATTGTTAATTACATATGTATATACATGATAACCTTTCCACGAGTTTCACGAACATGAAAATATATTTAAAGATTTTTGGATATTACACACATTTTGATTCAGTTTTTCATCACCAGTTCCGGTGCTCTTATTGATTCGATAGGGGCAAAACAGCATGCTTAATTCATTCAAATAACCATCTATTAGATAGCAAGGTTTTGGTTCGTGATCGACATCGTTCGGTGACTGGGAGTATACGCAACGCAGCAAAGACGAGGAGGGAAGAGAGAGTGTTTTAATAAAGTTCTACTCCGCAATTTACATTTATGAAAATCCTTATTGCACTAACTATTTATTGATTTATACTTTCTTGTTTTTGCATTCATTAATTTATCATGTACATATATTAATGTCCAGATCTTTATATCTAGATGGTACTTTGTAGAAGACTTCATACTACAAATCTACTGACGTTTTAAAAAACTTTCAGATCAAATTTCGCCATTTGCTTGATACACAACGCTTTGTCAACAATCGGCTTGTAATTTATTCGCATTCCGGTGGTGAGTTATGATGATGTAACAAAAATCATGGACTTGTGTTTGATACATATATTTATTAGATTACATATACTTAATACGAATTTACATACAAAGTAAAAAATTTAGGTTTACAAAACATAAAAAGGTATGATTGTCACACACGATTTGTACAGTTTTCACATAAAAAGAATATTTGACACATTTCGTATGTAGTCGTTTCACCAGTTCTGGTATTCTAAGGGATTTCACATCGCACATTGAAGCATCCCTAGCTGATTTTGATGATCGTCCTGCAGGGAATGAGGTACGGTGTTTTCAAGTTCGGGAACCGCTTTGTCAGTGTTACTCACATGTGATTTTAGATTCAAATATTCGAGACAACGGATGCAAATTCCCTTCTTGCTAGGTATGAGGTTTTCTTCATTCTCTGGTTTCCAGTACTTCCTTATGTTAACAAAGGGACAGTCTCCTTTTACCGTCAAGAAAATATTAGCACGGATGTGATAGTGGAGATCTTTCTTGTTCAAGGCTGCGTGGACCATATCAATTGCAAGCGTTAGACTTTTAAATAGCTGCAAGTTTAAACTGATGCCTTTCTTGGAAGGGAACTGACGATTTTCCGTTGATTTCCATTCTCGAACGTCAACTCTACATTCGCCATTGCTTAATATACACGCTAGAATGTATCACTCGTTTCTTAGATGTAGACTCTTCGGTGTAGAAGACAATATGTTTTGATAAGTTTTTAGCTTAATGAATGTACATATATTTAAATAGAAACTTAAAGATCTTAAATCGGAACACTTTCATTTCCAAATATTTTCCGATTGGTTTATAACGATCAAGTGACTACATCTTATACATGTATAATAATGACCAAACGGAAGTTTGTCAAATGAAACGTGTAATAATTAAGTTTGATTTTAATCAAACAAGGATGTGAAATAATAAAATACAATCACACTTTACTCATGAACATTAATCCCTTCCGAATCATGTTTACTGCATTGATACACATCTTTTAAATATTTTTAATCTAGCATGTATTTTAGATATACCATAAATGGAAAACTCTTCTTAATATATTGGGGTCTATTCTGACTTTTATTTATTTCATTTTTAATGGGACTGAATTCTATATAGTTCAATTTAATATTGTTTTATCGTTAAACGTTTGAACGAGTATCTTAATCTATATGAAACTAAATGTTTCTCAAGTATTGGTTCGAGGATTTGTGATAGATTATCGATCCGTCTCTGAATAAGACATCTGTCCACAGCCATTAACATCCATTCTCCCTTACGATCCTCATAAGGAACGTTAATTATTGTATCATCACCTAAAAATCTAACAATCTTTTTCATTGCATTATATTAATCCAGAGCTATTGGGTAGAATCTTTTGTATTCATCTTTTACAAAGAAAATATCAAATTTGCCTCCTCTTATCAGAACATATAGAAAATATATTTTCCCCTTACTTTATTACCCTTCATACATACTCTTAGAATACATATTTATGAATTAATTCAATGAAACTTGTTCTTATAAACCCGACGATTTAACATTGCACGACATCTGTCGAAATGGTCCCTAAAAATACCAGGTGTAAAAGTATTTTAATATGTAAATATTAATTCTATGTATTGATGAACGGATTAAGTTGTTAAAAGGATTAAAACTTTCCTGTTATTGATCTATTCATATCCGATTTTTGACTTCCTGATCTTGTTATCCTGGTATAATACACTTCCGTGATCTATCATAGGATCCTCAAATTTGGTGGCTCCTCAAATTAGCACGAAATGTCCCCCACTATTCTACTTGTATCTTAAGCTTTTCATTTTGTTATATGCAGACGATACTGTTATCTTGGCTGAAACATATGTAGATCTGCAAAAGGCTTTGGATGATTTTTATTTGTATTGTTCACAATGGAAACTTAATGTTAATGTTAGTAAGACAGAAATTCTAGTGTTTTCTAAAGGACCAATGTCAAAAAAGGTATTTTATTATAATAATAATGCAATTGAAAATGTAAAAGAATTCAAGTATCTTGGGATAATATTTTCACGCTCAGGTTCATTTTGTAAGGCCAAAAAACATTTATGTGAACAAGCACAGAAAGCAATGTATGGTGTTATAAGGAAGATAAGACAATTTAACTTACCAATTGAATGTCAGTTAGATCTTTTTGATAAAGTTGTTGTTCCAATTTTGACTTATGGCTGTGAAATTTGGGGTTATGAAAATTGAACGTGTACATTTAAAATTTTTAAAACATATTTTCCATTTAAAGAGTAGTACGCCCTCGTATATGGTGTATGGGGAGACTGGGCGATTCCCATTGTATATTAATATTTTTACAAGAATGATCTCCTACTGGTTAAAATTACTTACCCCGAATTCTTTAGAAAACAAAATAGTTTGTGTTTTGTATAAATATCTATGTTCTCAATATTTTCAAGGAGGTCCAAAAAACCTATGGGTAGATTTCATTTATAAAATTTTAACCTCTTGTGGGTTCTCCAACATTTGGTATGAACAAAGTTCCATTGACAGGAATTGGGTACTTGCAGCAGTGAAGCAAAGATTAAGCGACCAATTTATTCAAAAATGGCATAGTGATATAAATAATTCATCAAAAGGTCAAATTTACAAAATTTTTAAGAGTGACTTTGGATTTGAAAAATATCTAAGTATTTTACCTAGTAAACTCCAAAAAATACTAATAAAATTTAGAACTTCAAACCACCACCTCCCAATTGAAACTGGTAGATGGTCAAATATTCCACTGGATGAAAGAGTTTGTAAATTATTTAATACAGGGCAAATAGCAGACGAATTTCATTTCATTTTAGAATGTAAAACATTGAACAGCATCAGAAAGAATCTTTTACATCCCAGATTTTGTAAAACGCCAAATACACTTAAGTTTTCTGAAATTATGTCAACGACAAACTTAAAAACTTTAAAAAACCTTTGTATATTTATATCTAAAATAAACGACACCGTCTGTCCTCCATAATTTAAATGTTATCATACCATTTTTTCTTTTTTTCTTCTTTCATTGTATGTTTATTGCTATACTATGTACATATGTATATGCCCCTCATTTATGCTATTGTATCATAATTATATTTATTATTTTTGTCACAATTATGACGACTAATTTATTGTACCTCATGTACCACTGATGTTGGTATGAGTGAATAAAATGAAAATGAAAAATGAAATGAAGATAATAATGAAAGCGCTAACGTTTTAACCTGTGTTGCCTTTCTTTTTTTTTTAATTTTATGTATATATATATATATATATATATATATATATATATATATATATATATATATATATATATATATATATATATATATAATTAAAACTGAATTTCAACGTCCTAGACGAGATGATCAAAACTATATTTTGATGAAATTCAGTCGACATAGATAGATAAAAAAAAGTGGAAATGAAAATCTGGTATTGACCTGTCGTTAAAAATCCTATAAGTTAACCAAGTTTAAAATTGTTATTATATCAGGTGTTTGTGAACCTCTTGGTGACCCAAAATGCACAGGAAAGAATGCTTTTCTGCAATGTAACGACCCTCCAAAATTTACGTGTGACATGGAAGAAGGTTTGTGATCTAATACATGTATTAGTAAAGTTAAAAAAAAAATCCGAATTTCCTTACTATCTATGGATAGATGTGATTGTTTTCTGAAAAAGCTGACTACATGAATAAAGCTTAAAATATGTGAATTCAAAGCTTTTACATATTTCTTCTGAAATATTTTCTTCTACATTCAGATACTATTAACCAAACATTGAAATTTCCAAGTACCATGGTGCCAGCATCGGAAACAAATTATTACTGCATGACCTTTGACCTCCTAACAGATGGAGATTACCATCTTATTGCTTCACAGCCTTTGATTGACAATTCTGATGTGTTACATCATATGATTCTATACGCTTGTAGAGACACAGGTTAGTGGGTTTTTTTCACTTAGATTATAATTAGAAAGGTAACCTTTAATGAAACAATTTCATTCATTGGTTTCTCTCTCTCTCTCTCTCTCTCTCTCTCTCTCTCTCTCTCTCTCTCTCTCTCGTGTATATATAACGTATAAATTGTATATATATCTCCATTGCAGTGAACACGACATCTGCTCCCGTGAGCTGTGGCATGGCCAAGGAAAACTGCAATGATATGATAGCGCTATGGGCTGTAGGATTTACGGGTGAATGCCTTCATAAAGACACTGGTTTTAGGGTTGGAACTAATGGATACAAGAAAGCCACATTAGAGGTAGTGAAGCGGCAACATGCATGCTGATATTTCATTTTCTTGGTATCTTTTGATCACTTCTTACTGAAATTCAAAACAGAAAATCAAAATAAATTTTATAAAGCCCCAAAGCTTCAAATCTTATTACATGTATTTGATTAAGACATTAAAGCCTTTTTATGATCTATAAGGTTGACTTGTTCAAAAAGTTCTTAGTCTAGCCAAAAAAAGGAACCGTAGCTAAACGGAAGAGGTATCATTACGTATGAAAAAAAAGTAAAGATGTATGTCATTAAGGAGAAAGAGCAAGACTTTGTCACAAGCCAATTTTGGAACCTGATACTTGATGCAGAATTTGTTAATTAATGAATAGGTGTACTTATATTGTTAGCGTATGAAATGTTGGATAAATAAAAGCAGGAGAAATTCAAACTTTGTATGTGCTTTCTGTGAAAAGCACTTTTATATGTGGGATAAATGTTTACTTTGTCATGTAACGAATGATATTGCATTGACAAGTATCCAATACTGATATCGCCCGCATTTTATTTTAAATGTACCTTGTTCAACTACAAATTATCTTTATATAACCATAAACAGGCTGTATAGGATTTTACGATCTATTTGGATACTATTGTTCAGTGAAGAATCACTTCACTCTCAAAAAGACAACATGAATCATAATACACCTGTACATTGTATGCAGCTATGTAAACATCACTATTTTCTTGTAGGTTCATTGGAATAATCCGGAGAAAAGGACAGACTATAAGGACGGGTCGGGCATGTACATATTTTTAACTAAGACAAGAAGAACCTATAATGCAGGAATTTTGATGGTTGGACAGAATTACATTCGAATCCCTAGACGCGCTTTTCGAGTTGTGGTGACAGCGAACTGTTCCCATACCGACACTTCACGATTTATTGTAAATGGACCAGTCTACTTTACCCGTGCACTGAATCATATGCACTACCTGGGTATTTTTCCTATTATATATATATATATATATATATATATATATATATATATATATATATATATATATATATATATATATATATATATATATATATATGAATATTCATCATATAATGAATATTTAATTTTAAAAGGGTGTTCCCCTTTCGCAATTACATGTATACTTACCCTGACCATTGCTATATGTCCTAACCAACATACCCTTTAAATCAATTTTTATCAAATGAAATGCAGTAGCAATAGCAAATAGCAAGGACATTTAATAAAATAAAAATATCTTAATCAATGTCAAAATTTGTTTTAATTATCTGTCATGCATAATCCAAACACTCCATTGCCAGTTGGTTTGACCTTAACTCAAGACACACTTTTAAAGGTGCTTAGACACAGATTTGAAGTCAATATTTTCTCAATGTTTCTGTATAATATCACGACTTATATATTGCAATAGCATTTCACACGAAAATATAATTAAAAACTTATTTTATCTGGAAATTATTGGAACTACGAATTCCTGGACGCGTTTGATTAACACATCCTTGCACTTTCACAAATTTTATCTTTATCCTTAATATTTAAGAAGAGAAGCTATTTTGCTGTGTATTAATGAAAAACATCTATAATCCTGAAAATTCAGAGTAGAAATGTGCGAAAGCAAACCCCCTCACTAGTATCGTCAGCTCGTGCTCAGTGTTGTGTACAGAGTTTAACAAATTGAATACACCCGTGAAACGTAAACTATTTTTGTAAACAGGGCACGAGCTCTGTTATTGGTAATGTTTACGATTCACCGGGTGTTTTCAATTGTTAAAGTCTGCACACACCACTGAACACGGACTGACAATACTGTGAGTGGGTTTTGCTTTCGAACATTTCGACTCTGAATTTTCTGGATTATAGTTTTAATATTTTTCATTAATACACAACAAAATTGCCACTTTTCTTAAGTATTAAGAATAAAATTAAAAGTTGCGAAAATGCAAGGATGTGTCAATCAAACGCGTCCAGAAATTTGAAGTTTCAATAACTTCGAGATGAAATAAGATTTTTATTATATTTTAGTATGAAATGCTATAGCAACATATAAGTCATAAAATTATACAGAAAATTTGAGGAAATATTAACTTCAAATCTGTGTCCAAGCACCTTTAACTATGTAGCAAAATATTTGTTTGAATTCAATCAAATTAAAGGTTTCATAGTTGCGGTCTTGTAGGAATCAGTGAACTTGACCTTGATATGACCTTGAGTCAAAATAGTGACGCACCTATGAATGATCAGCAGCACAGAACTATTAATTAAGTTTTTATTTAATCCCTACAATACTTCAAAGTTATGGCTAGTTGACTTTTTTTCTAATTTCATTCACAAGTAATGTTAATTTATGAAATAGACTTTAAATCTAGATAATGACACCTATAGATCATCAAACAACAATAACAATTTTTGAATATTTTCGAGTATGAAAATATTTCAATCAAGGTTTCAAGAGGTACAGTCTATACTACACTTCATAGCCTCATTACTCAGAGATCATGATCTTTAAGATATGATCTGAAGTCAAAATTCTTCCTTATGTCAAAGACAGGAATGCAATACAAGTAATATTTGAATCCCTATTAGAGTTGTGGCCCGAATACGATTTTGTGACAGAAGACAAACATCATCAAATCTGTATTTCATCCCAGACAGATTTGTTTTGAAAAATACTGTCAGAAATTTTATAAATTAATCACATTTACTTGTTAAAACATTGCCTTATTTGAAAAAAAATGAAAACTTTATCATTGTATTGAAACAACATGGTATATTGAAACTTTTTGTTTTATATCAAAAGCAAGAATGAATCTATTGGGACAACCCACTCCCAGTTTCATTGTTATTACATATAAATTAACATAATGAGATAAAAATCATAAAGTATATTTTGTTATTTTTACTTTTTATTTTCATGCATTTCAGGAAGAGAAATGAAGTTGGAACACTACAGGGATGGAACGAAATTACGGGACCTAACTTATGAAACCGACTACAGTTATGATAGTCCAAAAACGTTCGAGTAAGACATGAATACTTTTTATTGAAAGACATTTCATAGTTTATAAAAGCAAATTCATTGTGCATTGTCTCCTATAGCGTAAGTTCAACTGTACTGTCCAACCTGAAGCTTAATTCATTAGAATTCAAAACTTCCATGCTCGTTCTAAAAGCCTTTAATGGTTTCAATATTTGGTTAGTAGCTCACCTGAGCTGAAAGCTCAAGTGTGCTTTTCTGATCACATTTTGTCTTGCGTCCTTCTGTCTGTCTGTCCGCCCGTCCGTCTTGCTATCCGTCTGTAAACTTTCCACATTTTCGACTTCTTCTCAAGAACCACTGGGCCAATTTCTACCAAACTTTCCAAAAAGCATCCTGGTGAAGGGGATTCAAATTTGTTTAAATGAAAGGCCATGCCCTCTTTCAAGGGGAGATAAATAAGAATTGTTGAAAATTTGGTGTCATCTTTTAAAAATCTTCTTCTCAAGAACCAACGGGCCAGAAACGTTTAAACTTATATGAAACCTTCTTTACATAGTGCAAATTCAAATTTGTTCAAGTCGTATGATTCCCCGGGGAAGGGTGGGGCCACGATAGGGGATCAGCGTTTTACATAGGAATCTTGAGGGGAAAAAACATTTAAAAATCTTCTCAAGAACAACAAATCCTCAATTAGTCATATTGATATGGAAGCATCTTCTGGTAGTGTAGATTCAAATTTATTCAAATCATGACCCCTGGGATTATGATAGGGCCACAATGAGGGATCAAAGTTTTACATAGGAATATATGGGAAAAATCTTTGAAATCTTCTCCTTAAGAACAACAAAGACACGATAGAGATATTGATATGAAAGTATCCTTAGGTAGTGTTGATTCAAAATTTGTTTAAATCATGGCCCCCTGGGGTAGGGTTGGGTCACAATGGGGGATCAAAGTTTTACATAAGAATATATAGGGAAAAAACTTTCAAAAATCTTCTTCTCAAGAACAACAAATCTATGATTAGTCATATTGTAATGGAAGCATCCTCATGATAGACTGGTGTAGATTCAAATTTGTTCAACTCATGACCCGTGGGGGTAGGGTGGGGCTGCAATGACGGATCAAAGTTTTACACAGGAATATATAGGAAAAATCTTTAAAAATCTTCTCAAGAACAACAAATCTATGATGAGTCATATTGATATGGAAGCATCCATAAGTATTGTAGACTCAAGTCTGTTTAAGTCATCTTCCAGTAATTGGGTGGAGCCATAAAGGGGGATCAAAGTTTTATATATGAACATATATAAAAGAAAAGTCTTTAAAATTTTCTCAAGAACAAGAAAGCCATGTTTAGTCATATTGATATGGAAGCATCACCAGGTAGTTTAGATTCAAGTTTGTTCAAATCATGACCCCCACTCCCCACCCCCAGGGTAGAGTGGCAGACATCATTAACATTCAGTTTTCAAAAACAGTAAAGCCATGATTAGTCATATGAATATGGAAACATCCTCAGGTAGTTTAGATTTAATTTCTTTCAAAACATGACACTTGGGGGTGCCGCTAGGGTGTTGCTAGAACATCTATTATTTTATTTTCAATCAAGATGGCATATTCTTGACATGTGGGATAGGATCATAAGACAATGTGACATATAACAGTGTGAGCTACATGAACATATAACAGTTTGACCTACATATAACAGTGTGATCTACGTATGTGTATGCTGTCAATAGCCCTTTATTTCTGAGAGCTTAATTTTCACGCTATTTCGCGTTAATCTATCTTATTAAAGATAATATACACTGATTACCGAAATTTGTGAAATTTTGTATTGCTTATACATGTAGTTACAAAATAATAGCTATCTCGCAAAATATGATGCCACGAATATTTGTTGATCTACAGTACTGACAGATAGGTATAGCTTCATAACAAAATGTTATCATGACCTGCATATGAAATTGATCTTTTATCTCAAAAACAATTTCGACAGTTCATAAATAAGCATTCCTAGGTAATATTTTTTGGTTTTGACATGTACTTATACATGATAAGACAGTATGTTGTGTTTCGTTGTGACCCTCATATGATTTAACCTTTGACTTCACAGTTAACCTCAATGTATTTGTTACTGTTTATAGGAAAGAAAACATGAGCTTGTCGGAATAAATGTCAATATTTAGCCAATCTTTAGGATATTTACTTTGCCCTTAGACCCTAACCCTAATCCTAACATAAGCCATTATCTTCAGAATCTTAACACGAAGGTTTCAGAAATCAAGGAATGACTTGAATTTCACAATTATTGGAAGAGCACTAAATTGTACATGTAATCATGAGTACAATTTGCATGCTAGATGTCCATGGATGAAGAGGACTTTCAATATAAAAAAAATGGAGAAAGATTAACAATAAACATATGGGGAAACCCCTTAGCATCCTATCTTCAAGCCACTCAAAAACATTGCACATGTTTTATCCATGGACTTTCTATGGATGACGTATGAATGATATTTGGCCATTGAATTATGCCCCGGAAAAGCAATCTCAGATACATGTCTTAAAAGGGTGACCATTGAGTACAGGTCATATTAAGATTTTATCTTAAAATTCATTCTTTATATTGTAGATTCCCAACACCTATTGAGTTCAGACCAGGGGACGAAATAATCACGACTTGTGTGTTTTCTTCTGTGAACAGGAACAAAACTGTGTACAAAGGTGACGCAACTAATGACGAAATGTGTTTTGGATTTCTGACCTACCATCCTAAAGAAAGCCTCACTGTGGCCAGATGTACACAGTGGCTAGACATAAGCGAAAATGCCCTACATGTTTATGGAGATAAAGTTATAAATGGTTGTAATACTACAGCGTTTAGTGATGATAACCATCCTGCCACGGCCGCTTTTCTAAAGTCCGTCTTCGAAAACTGTGAAATGCTCACAGGATGTCTCCCAGAATGCCGTGCCTTTTTAGCAGAAGCAATGAAAAATCCATGCGTAAGTGGCAGTATGGGGACTTATTACCGGGATTTAGCTGCGAGATATAACTGGGCTTCACGTTTTGGTATGTTTACAGCTCTCGACTCATGTAATGCTGAGATTGCTCGAGATAATTGCAAAGCTAATTGTTTGGAAACTTGTAAGGCAGATAACAACGCAGCCAGCAAAGCAGTATTCATGATATCAATCTTTTTCACCATCCTGTGGTGTTTCTAAGAATTCAAAATCTGTTTTCAAGGACGTAGGTCGATGATAGCTAGCACCACACCCTTTTACAATATATTATTTAAAGTGTAAACAAATCCATATTGTGCAAGAATGAAGCAGAATATTTGTTTTAATTTATATATATATATATATATATTTTAGTGAAAACTTAATGAAAAAGTTTGTTCCTATTATCCTTCTTAACTAATTCAAGAATGACAAAGTAGAATGGCAGCTTACCTAGAGTTTATTCTTAAGGACCCTCTCTACACTGCATCCTATTTTCAGGGCACTTTTGTGTAATTAGACTGACCCACCATTTGACATACAAGTAGAATAAATTGTAATATGAACTGTATCACATAATTTAAAATAAATCCAAGTATTCTAAACATTATATTAGACCAAGATAAAGTATTTGAAAACTTTATTTGCATGTATTTTATCCATTTGAGTAAGCGAAGGCAATTTTTCTTTTCTATTACTTCATTGTCTTTGAAGATTTTTCCTAAATAAAAAAGGCACGCTCCCTATATTAAAAATGAGTTAGTTAATTTCAAAATATCCTCCTTTATGTTATATAATTTTCTCAAAATCCAAAAAACATTTTTCATCAGTGTGTAGAGGGTCCTTAAATATTTACCGGATTTTGTGCTTTGTACAGGTTTTTTTTTTTTTTTTTTTTGCACTTGTTAGATCAGAAACATTACCCAGAGATATGCATGTCATTGATATCATTCAATAATGCAATACAGGCTTGTAAACATTGTAACTCACTTGTATATATTTCACTTCGGGCTTTTGCTGCTAACACATTACCATCGAACATTTACATCCTGACCATTTCATTTGTCAATGAAAGAATTCTCAAAAAAATAATCTTCTTACTAAAAACCAATCCTTTAGCACCCTTTTCCGTGGTCAACGAGAAGAATAGTTACTTGATTAGGAAAACAGGCAGTACATTTCCATATGGTTGCAATGATAGTATGGGAAATCTTTCACGTCCCCAAGGTAGCATTATGAATGTGAGGGGACTTTTTAACAAAACACACAGATGTATGCGTAGTCATGGACTTTGGTATTACAATAAACCTAACATACATGCTGTCTCTATTGAATCACTTCTTCCTTTGGTCAATATTCAGTTAGGACTCTATAACATCCGCATCAAATTTTATTCTGTTTTTTTTTTTAGAGTTTTATTTAGTCTATATATCAAGAGACTAAAGAAACTCCATACTTGGATTCTTCGACGCCAGAATACAGGCTGGTTCTCTGACAGTGGATAATGCCAATCATAGGCTTTTTAAGCTGTCATCTTTTATGGAAGACAATAATTCTCAAGAAATCCGCCTTTTCCTTAAAGTAAATTTGCTAATAAGCAATCGAAGCCATTAATGTTTGTAATTAATGTTCTTAATCACAAAAGGGCCATGTCATGTATTCCACCATATTTCAAGTTATAGTCCACACCTTGTATTTTTAACAAATATTCATCGTCTATTGCTTCAAATCTTTTTAATTACGAAAAATTCTATAGTCCCTAGATATTGAACATCTGAAACACTCCTTTAATATATTCATGTTCTTCTCCCTACAGCTATATTCCTGCTGCTGGACACGTCATTACTGGTGACGTGAATATAGTTATCAATGAGGACCTTAATTGAATTATTCTAAAAGGGACAAGGTTTAGGGTACCTTTCAATTGGCGACAAAATTTCAAAAATATTTTTAATTCTGTGGACGATTATGCCAGACGATGGGTCAGATATGATAGAGAAGTCCCTGAAACTTTGTTCGAATGGATTCAAGGATAAGATGGATGTTGAAAACTTGTTTTGAAAGGCAATATGAAAACCATTTGTCCTGTTTTTAATAATACAGAAGTAAAACAAAAAAGAAGTAGATAGATTACACGATTAATATGTACTGGTCAAAGATAGTAACAACATAGTCTTTGTTTGAAAGACTCATTTTACAATTGCATTTCAAAGGAACTTGGATTTTTAAATTCTACAAGTGATAATCCAACTCATATTTCCATTCCAAGGAGGAAATGCTTCAAAATTATGTCAGTTTTGAATATTTTTGATATTCCAGACAACTAAATTGAATTTGAGTTACCATATCTGTTCTGGACTCCTAAACTTTACAAAAATGTTTATAAACAAAGATATATAGCGGGTTCGAGTAAATATTCTACCAAGCCTCTCTCTTTACATGTACCCCAGCAGTGAAGGAGAAACTTTAGGTGTACTGTACAACAATATATTCGGGAAGTGGTAAAATTTTACCAACATCAATAGCATCATAACGTATGACTTTTCAACACTTTATACAACCATTCTTCACTTTTTGACATCATAGATAACTGTTTCTTCAATAAAATTGGAACTCGTAAATTTGAAGATGGGTGAACAAGGCGGGCGAAGTGCCTACAGTGCGACAAACATGAAGTGAAAAATAAAATCTCAATTATATCAAAATTTTCTTTGATATTTCATCTAACATTAAAGTATACTTTATATAAAATCTCTACAATTTACAAAAATCTCACAAAGAATGAATTTATTTGCCTATGAAATAGCATACACTCACTAAAGAGGACAAAAAAGATCATTTTCTCATACTTTAACAAAATTTTTCGATATGAGTGGGTCTTCGCTCCATTTTTTTGAAAGTTATTCCTAAAAGTTTGCATAAAAATATATATTTTTTGGCTTACAAAAACATGGAGCAAAGACCCACTATACCTTAAAAGTACACTTTTATGACAAAGCATTCGCATCTTTCCGAGAAATACTTGAAGTCCATTAAGTCAAGGGTCATATCACAAACATGATTTAAATGCCACAATTCATCATGAGCTGTGTAGCGTAGTGGTTAGCGTGTTAGTCTCAAATCAGTATGATACTCCGGATTTTTATTGTTGGGTTCGAATCCCACGAATACCATTTTATTTTTTAATAAATGAAAAAAAAATTCCGAGATCTTTTTTTCTGAGAAAAGTTTTGTTGATCATAAGTTCATAAATTTCAATAATGGGAACTTTCCTTTGAATACTTAATTCACAAATTGAATACGATTTTTAAATATCTGAAGCTATAGGCATTCTGCACGCCTTGTTCACCCATCTTCTTTGCATACTTTGTCATTGGTCATCAGCAAACTTATCTATACTACTATATTAAAATAATAGACTCGAATTTTTGGCCTTTAATACCGATAAATCGGAAGAGTACTGTCTATTGTTTTATATATTTTAAACATCATTGGTACTTGAAGATTACCAATTTGTTTTTATTTTTTCTCAATTAAGCTTCGCTAATTAATAATCAACGAAAATTCCTCAAAAAATTCCGGAAATCATCTGGATTTTTTGGATTTTACAATCTTGCGCGTGCGCATTACATTCACGCTAAATCACGGTGTTCAAATCAGAGAAGACAAAAGTACTAAGTAGATATATATTTGTTATTTTATAATTTCTCTAATAAAAAATCATAAATATATATGAACAGAATATATAGCAAATTTCCAATGAAAATTTACACGTATTTGTATTATCGTTTCTGAGTTTATCCATGCAAATGTGATATTGTGGCCACGTGGGTAATCATTCGCCATTTATTATATGTTATTTACGTCTCTGGCCATCTCAACGGAGGCAAAAAGCTCATGATCGTAGGAGCAATATTAATGTAACTACCCGATTTTATTTTATCCTTCCTTTCTTTTATGCTTTTTTGAGGGGAAGGGGGGGGGGGGTTACAACTCCAACTAGAATCATATTTTAGTGAAGTAGGCATTCTTTTTCCGCCAAAAATTACAATAACATTATTTTCATTTCTTAACTTTGAAATAAATCGAAATAATCAAATAACGTCAATATAACCGATATTTTCAATTTGAAATGTGTCTAAATGATTGCAACTTGAATTTGTTCGCCATGTTTACTATTACCTTCACTGCTGAGATTTATAACGCCGTAAACATGGTAAATACATGACCTCTGACCCTGACGTTATATAGAAGGGACAGCCTGTTCTTCTAAATATGTAAAGGTTGTCGTGGTAACTACGCTTAATAGGTAGTCTGAAGTCAGCCCTTGCGGCCCGTACAGTTCATTCTATCAATGCTGCTAAAATATCGATCATTTGCATAGGCGTCGGAAGCAAATTGAAAGTGGGGTGGCTAAATGAAAGTGGAGGGGCTAAACCAACGAAAAAAGGTAAGCCCCAATTTTCAATACCTAAACTATGTCTATCTTTGCAAAAAAAGTGGGGGGGGGGGGGGCTAAGCCCCCCCCCCCCCCCGGTTCCGACGCTTATGATTTGTAAAATATAATCCATGCATAGTAAATCTCAAAACTATGAGGTAGGACAAAATTAAGATCATAAAGAATATTTATTCATTGATGAAATAAATTATATTTAATCGTAGCAAACAAACTAACGTTTAATTAAATCGCCAAAAGAAAAAATACACCAGCGTGAAAACAAGTTGTCTTCTTCAGCAGCCATGACAGTTCTCATGTGATGTAATGACTTTGGAATTAAAACGTTTAATACTGCAGAAAATTAACTTTTGTTATCACTAAACAGTAGGGATGTCAATTTTGTCAATAATTCATATTCGAATATTCAATGAAAGTATTCGAATATATTCGAATATTCGATAAAATAAATAAAATCTGTTTTATTTTAAATATGCATCATCCTACTCTCGTAGATATACTTTTACAGGAAGTAAAATTGTATGAAGACTTTTGTAGGTGTACAATAAGAAATTCCATTTGATATTTGTCAATGATTGAAATAAATAATTGATTTAAATGTAGAAAAGTATAATTTTAACAAATGAAACGTGTATTTATAGCAGCCCCACCTGAGGAACCAGTCATCTTACAAAAGGCAAGATAAGAGTAACGGTATACTGTTCAGATTTCAATACGTGTAATAAATGACAATTATCTGCCTGATAAGAGATATGATTATAATCTTTGATACAATGTAAACAAATATTTCCATAGACAATTTTCCTAGGTAATTAAATGTTTCCCCGATCATGAATATAAATTATGTACAACCCAAGATAATCAAGTAATTTACACATTTATTCTGAAATTAAGCCCTTTACAATATTAATTACAGATTAATTCTCTCGGACATTCATTCAATGATCAATTAATTTTATTTTGATAAGTATACTCTTCACGCCTTTTAGATATTCTTAGATTTCATTTGTTGTCCTCGATTCTAGATCCGATCGTATCTATAACTAATAAAAGCTATTAAAGTACGTTTTGTATTATACATAAAGCATTATTGACAATTCTTTACAACACCTTACTCAAAACAAAATACATGTAATTTAGAAGATTTATAAGATACGAAAGTAGTGAAAGAAATCAGTCGATCGAAATTGATCGCTAGTTTTGTTAAAAAGAAACACTCTGATTTTATACCTAAGTGCTCCTAGGTTGATATTAAAAGATGCCTGGATTTCTCTTTGATAAAATCTATGTACTTTTCGGAGCCAAAGTCTTCTTTTGGGTACTAATTGTGTCCCGGTATAAGCAGAATTATTTTGGTATTTATATGAAGTAGAATTTATTCAAAAACTACTACATGGAAAGAAGTCTCTTGCTGTGGCCTTCATTCGACAATTAGATATATCGACGTTGTTTTGTCAATTAACAATATTTTCATTTCTACGTTTAAAATAGCGATCTCAAAAACAAATAATGGTGTAAAAATTGATTTACCACACACGTCTATGCCAAAAACTAGTAATTCTGGACTTAATAAATATTTCTACTAAGTATCTTCCCAACTTGCCATATGAAACATGGTTTGGGGTAGATTTTTTTGTAAAGCTGTATTAAAAATAAAGTTTCTCTGACACTGTTATTGTCAAAGACCCACACTTCATGACCATAAATTATTATGGGTACAAGCTTACTGTCAAATAATTAAAATAAAAGTTTTAGGATACACTGACATTCCGTATAATTTCGTCCCTTGTTTGATTCGATTATTTTCTTTTACAGAATCTTATAGGAAGAACGTTGTGTCTCAACAAATAGATAAAGTTCTATGTTAAACTGTGTTATTAAACATAGTTTTGAAGAGTAGAGATATTTAAATGATTTTTTAAAACAATTTATATCATAGGATCACTGGCACTTGTTTCAGTCTGTAATGAACTTTTTACCCTATGGTATAATAATAATAATTTACTCAATAGTAGGGTATGGGCTAAAAAGAATTTATTACCAAAATAATTGCCTGTGTATAAGATAGAATATGCAGAATTACGAGGGACTAAACCTTTTTTGGTACTTAAAAAGACCATATTGTACCTATTGGTCTTGCAATTAGCCGAATGTTACGAAAGAAATCTCTCTTTTAAAGTGGAAAAACAAAACCAAAAAATTGTTCACCATTAAACACGAATATTTCATAAAACCCTACAATTTCTGTTTTAATAGAGCAATGCATAAATAATCAATTACAATCGTTTAAGCACTAGGGATAAACGATTTAAAAAAAACAAGCAATGTCCTGATACCTGGCAACAAAACGAATTATTAGTGGAGCGAATTGCTATTTAACCAACAGAAAACGAAAGTAGATTCTGCATCAAAATAGAAACAAACGTTCATGTTTTGTTTATTAATTAATATGTTCTAAGCATATATACAACAATTTAATGACAAACGTGGTTGAATTTAAAGTGTATGGATGCATTTAAGCAGCCATGCATGTACAGAAAACTAGGATAGAGGGTAAGCATAAAGAGAGCATTTAATTAGCTGATTAGGACCCACTTACACGTAGCTTCGCAAGTTTTGGCACTTGAGTTACATGTAATGATGACAAATGGTTTATTTTCTTTTTTTTAATGAGGGAAAACTATGAAGGCAAGTCAAATTTATACTGCTTCTCAATGAAAATTAAAATACGCAGAACGCTCTATTCATATTATAATATTTACATTTCCAAATATTTTTCCTTAAGATTCTTTGCAAATTAGAGGACTGTTCATTTTCTCATGAACTACAATGGATGAGCATGAATATCTCAATTGTTACATCAGAATACCGTACTTGACGTCAAAACTATAGTGCAAACTGTTTGGCTTTAAAAATGACAGTTGAATTGCGTAAATTGTGGAAAAAATAATGTAAATATAAGAAATGAATTTAATTTTTGAAGATTCATGAGGTACATGAACTACAACGCTTCACGCCGGCATATTTATCATGAAGCGCTAACGCGCTTCATGAAATATGCCGGCGTGAAGCGTCGTAGTTCATGTCCTCATGAATCTTCAAAAATTAAATTCATTTCTTAAATAAACTTGCATGTACTTTACTAACTGTAATAGGTTGGAAAAAAAGTTATCACCTTCGGGTAAGCCATGTGCAAAGTTGTTGAGTGTTTCAAATAAATACATATCCTTCATATATTTGGGGTCTTATTTAAGGAATGTTTTTAAGTTTTGTGTGAGTTATTGGTGTGTAAATCACACAGACTTGTCAAGTAGGCATATTTCATGAAGCGCGCTAACGCTTCATGAAAAATATGCCTACGTGCAAGTCTGTGTGATTTACACACCAATAATTCACACTAAACTTAAAAACATTCTATTTACATTTTACATGCAGTGCTTAAATGCACCAAAAATATACTCAGTGTTTGAATTTCTCGCTGCCCTATATCATCATATTTTTATTAATGTCTCTGTAGCCTCATTGTGACGTCACTTTAGCATGAGTTTCGTTGTGTATATTTCTACGTGTGAGTATAACAAAAATGAATTTCAAATCAATTTCACAGTTGGCTTAGTAGAAAAACACAGCAAATGTAAATATTAAGACTTGAATGTGTAATTTGGATACTTTCACAGTAGATCGCTGCAAATATTTCATCTAATCCTCATGGATTTTAACCTGTACATGATATTATAACCTGTTTGAATGATTGTTACCATCCTGTATAAAAAGTAAAGATATAATAGCAAAACTTTTATTTACTATACTTCACAAAGGTAAAATATGTTTTATCAGTCAGCTGCTCAAGGTTTACTTAGTATTTTGATCCCTGTTGGTTTTTTACTGAATTATTGATAAATTGTTTGAAAACTGTGGCTACATCAAGGCTGACTACTGGCTGTCAATTTATAAAGACTAACAATTTTGATTGCATTTTTTAGATAACTCAAAAATTTTTACAGGTTAGTTCCAAGGCCACCAGAAATACATTAATGAAATGGAAGAACTGTCATCCACTAACAAAAGACTTGTGGAAATACTGGTTGAAAATCAATGGATATATAACTTTCAAGTAACCAGATTTTTTATTGAGGAGCCCTGGAATTCCCTTCCTTCTGAGGTTTGAATTATAACTGTTACATTTTTAAAGTTGCTACATGTATCAGCCTGTAGAGCAATTAAGTTTTTTTCCCCACAATACTGTAAAATATTTTATACCAACAAATTCAGTATGAGAAATCAGCAGCTGGGGAGTGTCCACAAGGTTGTATGAAAGTATTAAAATCAGGATTAAATGCTTTTTATGTTCTGATGAATGATGTAATGCTCATTTTGCAAAACTCAGAAATTCTGTCAGTCATTGTACCCTTCTAATGCTCTGATTTGCAAGACAATTTTAGATACTAGTTGAATGGATTGACCATTTAGTAGTCACCAAATAAAATAATGATAATGAAAATTGAAGCAAGTTAGCACTTTCAAAGTAAGAAGACTGGATTGAGTCAGTTTTAAAATTGTTCCCATTAAATATAGCAAGATACATAATTTTGTGTTGTTCAGTTTGATGAATGATGTTGCCTTTGTTACTAAAAATAGAATATTGCTTGAAAGTCTAAAAATGCCACTTCTCTTAATTTTGGCCTGATACAATAAGTTTTGGTAAACAGGTATACTTCAACATGGCACCTTATTTTATATATTGATGTTTGAAGAGTGTTGCCATGATAACTTTAAAAAATGTAAATTTTTATTAAAATGCTACGAGTATATACACCTACTACATTTTAAAGTTGATTTCAATAAAACTTTGACTAAGTGTAGAAACCAGCAATATAAATACAGTTTTGATGTATAATTATCAATATATTTACACAATTTTGATGTGTAGTTAAAAAAAGCTGTATTTGTAGCTGTAGAGCTACAAGCCCAGGTACATATTGTTTAAGTGCAAACTACAGTAGTAGAGGTACAGTCTCGTCAAAAACCCTTTGTTTTAATAGACTGCACTCTTGTTCATTTTTGTTGTCACCATTGACAAAAGCAGTAAAAGAGACTGTAATTGAACTGCACCTTAATTTGAACATACAAAATGTATAATTATTATATGTACCATTTCTGTTATTGGAAATTAAAGGTTAACCAGGGATTCATAAAAACGCTTTTATTTAAGAAGTTACATGTAAATGTGTAAATCTGGAACATTCCGGTGCTATTTTTTACACAAGAGCAATTAACAGAAGACTTTTAAATGTTCAAATTAAAAACTTATTACAGTTGATCTCCTTACAGTCCACAATCAACGATGCCACGAAGAATTTATATTAAAGGAATCGATGCAAAATCAACTGTCCAGTGTATCAGATTTGAAATTGTACATAAACAGAATAAAAAATGATAAGAAATGTAAAAATTTATTATCAAAGTGAATAATGATAATACATGTTAATTTTTGTGAAAGAAAAACTAGTGTAGAATACATATACTTTTTTCTTTGCTTGATTTTCAAATATACATTACAGTGAAATTTTAAAATGATCATGAAGTAGTCTTAACAAGTGTTTCAACGTCAGAGCTACATTTTCCACACAGAAAATGTGGATGTGTCGGTGTGATTAATATCGTTGGAATCCTGAATCCACACTTGATCTCCTGCGTGAAGCTGGACATAGATCTGACATACATAAAGTATGGACTTTCCATATGCAAAGCAGCCCGGCAAATGGATATTGTTCACCACGAAAGGCGACGTGTTGCTGATTGTATGAGGAACGATTCCATCGGTCATGCGCAGTGTGTACATACCGTCTTCCGGGACAGTGTATATTCCAGTGTTGTTGTCATAACTCGGCGGAATATTGATAGAGGTGTTTGAAAATATGACAGTTTTATGCTGTAATATATTTCCTGGGGCGCCATAAGCCGAAAACACCACATCGTGAGTTGCTTGAGAAAGTGAAGAAAAATTAACGTTGAAAAATAAATATATTAATCATTTCTTTGATATTATATTTTGATATTATTTTTGATATTATTTTGATATTATACCATACTTGCTAGGGTTGATGTTTAAATTAATCATGATTTGGATGTTGCATCTAATATATTTTCCCAAGATAAAAGACCATATTTAATGTTTTGCGATGATGTAGGCACAAAACATTAAATTAAAACATTAAATCAGGGAATGAATTCCTTAGTAATATTGTTAGCCCTACTTTGACCAATTTTGAATGAATGATACATCTACTAACAATCCCTTTCATCAGGTATTATATTTTTCATGATGTGTAATTAAGACATTGCAAGGGTAAAAGTTACAACTGTATCTTATTCAGCCCAACCCATTCGTAAAATCAAATCCTGCATAAAATATGTACTTATTTATAGAATGGATATACTTACAAAATGTTAGCTTAACATTAAATTCACTGGAAATGTTTTCAAGTTCTCTCTGTATTCGCTGTTCAAATACTTTTTGTTCCGTCTGGATAAAGAGAATAGAGTTGTTCGTGGCTTTGTCCACAACTAGGAGGTCTGCACTTAGTTTGCTAACGTCACTTTTTAATTGCTGCTCGAGGTGCTTAGTCTTAGAATCCAGTGACGTTACCATTCTTTGCAAATGGTCGTTCTGTGACGTCAGAGTTGCCACTTTGGACTTCAGTTCGTTTATTTCCACCTGCATGTCGTGGGACATTGTTCTGTAATTCGACATTTCGTTGAGAAGAAAAGTTAACATCTGAGAGTCCACTGCTTTTGAAAACTTTAGAAAGATTACTGCCATGACAATCTGGCATATGAAAACTTTTCGAATTGTCCCTGCCATAACACTTCTCCTTAGAACAAGTTCTTTGTGTAGCTGGTATACTTTTCCGCAAAAAAATACGAATTGGATCTAGGTCCTTATACTGATTCTCCACCCTTCTTTGACAAATTGCCTTAAAAAAAGACAATCCTTTGTGTCCTTTCTGAATTCAAAAATGGCCAAAAGTAAAGTTACACCTCACATTAAAGGTATGGCATAATAGATAACATACATAAACCTTCAAATGTAACCCATGTAATTCTTTGGTACATTTATTCTGTTTATCTTTTATTGATCAACTAATGTCACTTTAGTGCAACGTATACTTAGATTTTGAAATATGCTTTGGATATGAGTTAGATAATTTCAATTTATTTTCTTTGTTATTATAGTTTGTAATTATATATGTACATTTACGATTTTTTTTCAAATACAATATAAATAATTAAGAGAAAAAAATTGTTATATGCATGTTCCAAATCGAATTAAAATAATACATAACTGTTAACTTTTTATAATACTCTTATTACTTCAATCATTAATCCATTTTTTTTTTTTCAGTGGGGGAATGAGTTACTGAAGCTAACAACGGAGGATCTAAATTCACTCCCTTTTGGATTTATACAGGTATTTACATTATCTACGTGAAAATTTCCCTTTCCCCCAAGTACTTCCTTGGGAAAAATATGCTTTTCACTTTTAGAATGCAAATTACATATTAAATTTAAAGGACGATTGGCCTGAAAGTCTACGAAAGTTTATATATACAGCAACGGAACTTGTGTTACCAAGGACTCTTTCGGAAGAAATTCAACCTTGTGCTCTTACTTCAGAAGTCAAACGAGGGATGAACCCTAAAAAACAACATGAAGTAAGGCATATGGCAGCTCTTGTTAGTAATATGGCGGCCAAGACAGGATGTGACGTCGTGATTGACGTTGGATCCGGTCTGGTAAGAACTTGTTTAACTTCATCACTCATTTTAAAAGTTACAAATAGACATAAATTTTATTGAAAACTACAGGTATGATACTGTATTTGATTTGATTAGAATAAAATTTTTCTTTCTCGATTATTATTGGAAGGAAAAGATGGCGATTTTATATAATTTTAATGCAAATGATATTATAATTTTGTTAAATGACAAAAGAAATTTATTTCTGCAAGGGATATCTTGGTCATGTATTGAGCACTGTATACGGACTTAAAGTGATTGGTTTAGAGAGCAAAACAAGTCACACGTCAGGAGCAGATAAACGATTGTTTTTAGGTACGGTTGCAATTGAGGAATGTATTACATCCAGGAATTACTTTAAAACCTGATTAAATGCACGTAAATTTTTCGTAGTTAACTTGTAATGTTTGTCTTTCCAGAAAAAAACGAAAATATCATGAACGTGACTTTTGAAATGGATGACTCTGAAGACAGTATATCGAATCTTAAAACGTTAATTGGTTCATGTTTGGAGAAATTCAAAAAAGCAGAACGTGATAAAGTCCTAGACCAAGTAAACGTATCTTCAACTGCGTCAGAGGTACATTCATTGAATACTACTGATCGTAACTGTAATGAAAATGAACATATCGGTGCTCCAAAATCAAACACGCTTAATATGCACACATCAGATTGTGAAAGAACGCAAAACATGGAATCTGAAACAAACCCCCGGGACGAAGGAAATGATATAGTGGCAAGCAAGGTATTTCACCATTCAGAATGCTCTGTACCCTCCAAAACAAATCAATATCCGAGAAAAAGTGCTGATGTAACCGGAAGTGGCGTAGGCAGTAGTGAATTAGACACGTGTCTCCTGATTGGTCTTCACTGTTGCGGAGATTTGACTCCCGCAATGCTCAAGGTCTACTCGGAAGTAACGTTTGTAAAGGGACTTTGTTGTGTATCCTGCTGCTATCACAGAATGACTAAATGTGGTATATATTTTTTGCGTTAATCTCATTGAGTATTTATGCATTTTTATAATCGAATATTGATAGATTTTTAAATGTTGTATGTCTTGAGAAAATCAATGTAATCAGAGGCGAAGATTCGCAAAGGAATGTTATCTTCCTTTAGCGAAGTGAATTTTCTCACAAATAGTGTCTGTCTCTGCTTGCATTTTATACAGAAGAGATTATTTTGTAGACTTGCGCGTTTTTCGTGAAATTATTAAGTTTTCAGGTGGCTCATTTTATTTACAGGCTAAAATATTTTATAAGTACCGGTAGTAATGTTTATTAGAATAATTAGTATAATGTGTAAAATTATTTATTATAATATAAACCGTAAGATTTTTATAAGATATTTTCTTTTAGGAACGAAGTATGTGCATTTTCCAATGAGCAAAGATGCTGAGGCCACCATGTCCAAATTTGATCTAAGACCCACAGTTCCCTTTTTAAGACTAGCAGCGCAGGAAACCAGGTTTATTTGAGTAATTTCGGTTAAAATTTAGGACATTTGAAATTTGTTCGCTTTATGTGATAAGGAATGGACGGGGGAGAAAAATGAAATATGCTTTAACTTTAGGTCTCGTTGGAAAACATTGTCTGAAGATTCACATCATAGTCACACGAAGGCTGTAGCTTATAGAGCACTTCTGGAAATATGTGCATATAAAGGTAGGTGATATGTAAGGCATTGTAATATGTGAAGTATTGGTATCTAACGTAGGCAAATTGTTATCACTGAATAAGATTTTATTTATCATTGTCTGTTGTTTTCAGAAAATACAGAATGTAACAAACTTTTTCGAAGAATAGCAACTGAAAAAGATTTCTCTGACTTCGAATCTTACGTAGATAAAATATTAACACGCTGTGAGTTCACTTCCAGACAAGGTATGAAGGTTTACTACAGAACCGCTTGTCTTAATTCAAGGTGTTTTTATTTGATTAGTGTAACAGTTTGCTTGCTTTCTGACAGGGAAAGAATCAATAAAAGATAATCTCAATTTTCTCTACGAGGAATACAAGGGAAAATTTCCGTACATAGAGGTTATCACGGTGTGTATAATTATTTTCTCTATCTATTATTATCTTTTGAAATTCCTTGTTTGCAAAATTGAATTCAAACTATTTCAAAGTTGTTTACTATTAACCTGGCATGTGCCAAAGGCTCAATTGAGTTTATCTGATTCACGTTTGTCGGTCTATCTGTGTGTTCTTTGTTTATTTTTTTTTTTCTCATATTTGACTTCTTCCGAAGTACTCGGCCAATTTCAACCGAACTTGCCAAAAAGTATACTTGCGTAAAGGGATTTCTACATGTAGCTTGTACATGTATGAATGAGGGATGTCCCCTACGAAGGGAAGATAATAAATGCAAAGAACATTTAAAATTCTTGAACCATTAAAGCCAAAACTTGTGTAAAAGCTTCACACAAGATTAGGTATCCATGATAGCTTAGCTGTGATTGGTCCACAGTGAAGTTTCAAAGGTTTTACATGGTGAGCTTAAGGGAAAATCTTTGTACTCAAAATGGCAGGCCTGTAGTGAATCAAAGTTATATACATGGGCATTTAGTGTACATTCAAGTCTTTCAATTGAAGACCTTTAACAGGGGATTCAACTTTTACATATTCCTTGAAAACCCTCTAAAGAAGTTATCGCTTTCTCAGATGTGCAAGCATTCTCATATAGTTTGATTCTGGATTAGTCATCTCATGGCTTGGAATGCAGCCACAGTGGGCTTTAATGTTGAACATAGATTTTATTGACTGAACTAATGATCTTTTCTAAATTAGTAACTGCAAGATTTCAATTATTAAAATTAATATCCGAGAATCCACATATATTAACTAGACCCTATCTTGTTCACTATATGGCACCTGGAGCTAGGGTATAGCTACAGTAAAAGTCCAACCCTTCACATAGGATTACATGAGGGTAAGGTTACAATCATGGAAATTAATCAACGTATAGGGTAATCAAGTTCATTCAAGTCGCTAGTGTAGGCTGATGGCCGCCCCGGAATCAATTTGAATATAATTCTGCTTTTTCATCAACAGAAAGTCTATAATATGTTGAATACATGTACAAGAATTAATATACTAGTAGGTCTTGTTCACTATATGGCACCTGGAGTTAGGGTATAGCTACAGTAAAAGTCCAACCCTTCACATAGGATTACATGAGGGTAAGGTTACAATCATGGAAATTAATCAACGTATAGGGTAATCAAGTTCATTCAAGTCGCTAGTGTAGGCTGATGGCCGCCCCGGAATCAATTTGAATATAATTCTGCTTTTTCATCAACAGAAAGTCTATAATATGTTGAATACTTGTACAAGAATTAATATACTAGTAGGTATGTTAGTTAAAAATTGTTGAAAACAAGGTCCTAACTCCTAAGACATACACAGTGTATGGTGTTATTTTCAACTTGTCAAACAGTTAAGATTCAGGTGAGCTTTGTGCCCTATGGGCCTCTTGTTCATGTTTTCCAGGTTCTACAAGTTATCCTACAGCCTCTAATTGAGAGATTAATTATTCAAGATCGTGCTGTGTGGCTGCTAGAAAACGGACAAAATGCGCATCTCATGCCTGTGTTTGACGATGTTATATCTCCGCGCAATGTTGCTCTATGCTCCACAAAAATACATTAAATCTTCTCTATAACAGACTCAAATTTTATTTTTTTAACTCATTTTGTAGAATTTAAATTCTAATACATTCTAGAAAGAGTACTAAGTCACAAATATGAAGCAGCGGCAAAGCCCTTTTTTGTTTGCAAATTGACTGACAATGTGACTAGAATTTGAGAGACATGCTAGTCGGTGGTGAGTATCAAGTTGAGCTAGTGAAAGGAATACAAAGAGCGAAACAGCCTAAAATATGGAATCCGGACAGGAACACGTAGTTCACTATCGTACCATAAAGCATCGATGATTAAAGCGGTGGTACGGTGATGCGATGAGGATGGTGCGATAGCACCTTAGAGAGATTGCAAGCATCGCTTCATCGTCTTTACACCATCGTTTTATCTCTATCGTATCATAACGCTATTGTGCCATCAAACCATCGTCATCACACCATACCTTCTTCATCGTCGCTCCATCGCATCATTACTTGCTTTATCGCACCATCGACCAAATAGTCGATGATGCAGTGATGCGATAGTACACTACGTGACCTTTTTGGATACCATACTAAAATTATGGAGTTCGGGTAGGTTCACATAGTTGGCTATCGCACTTCGACTATTGGTTCGATGGTGCAATGACAACGACGTGATGCTCTGATAGTGCGATGGCGATAATGCGGTGACGAAGGTGCGATAGAGAACATCGTACCATTTTTATTGCCATCGTATTGACGACTTGCAGCTTTGTGTCATCGTTACCGCACCATACGTCATCGTGTTATTTCGCTATCTACCCAACAGTTGATGCGCGATGGTGCGATATTTAATCACGTGGCCTTATCCGGATTACATATACATGTATAATTGTGTAAAGTATAATGAATATATGGAATTCTGGATAGGGCCATGTAGTTCAATATTCCCAACGTCGCGCATGGACTAATTGGGTCGATAACCCGATGACGTGATAATGCGGTAACGATGACAAAAAGTACGATGATCATAGTGCAACTACGCGATGGTGCAATAAAGGCGCAATGCTACGATGATGTTGAAACGATGTTCGCTGTGGCACCATCGTTATCACGCCAGCACATTATCGTCATAGTGCTATCGCACCGTCGCATCATCGCCATTGCGCAAATGCGACTTCGACCCAATAGTCGATGTGCAGTAGTGCATGAACCCTATCCGGATTCCATAGTTCTGGTAAATGTCAGAATTTACAGAAAAAAATATTGGGAGCAATTGCTTCAGCAGTAACGCAAAACTATTTTAAGTTGCTTATTAAACCAAAACGCAAACAAGTTGGAATAGTTTTAGCTCACGTTCGAAGGAGCACCTCAGTGTACTTTCAAAAGCGAATCCGTGCATTAGAACATAACGAAAAGAATTTATTTTTTCCTCTTTGTAAATCGGGTATCTTTTTAGCTCACCTGAGCCGAAGGCTCAAGTGAGCTTTTCTGATTGAAATTTGTCCGTTGTCTGTCGTCGTTGTCGTAAACTTTTTACATTTTCATCTTCTTCTCAAGAACCACTGGGCCAATTTCAACCAAACTTGCCACAAAGTATCCTTGGGTAAAGGGGAATCAAGTTTGTTCAAATGAAGGGCCACGCCTTCTTCCAAGGTGAGATAATTATGAATTCATGAAAAATTAATGGCATCATTTAAAAGTCTTCTTCTCAAAAAACCACCGTGCTTGAAAATATGAAACTTATATGGAAGCATCCTCAGGTAGTGTAGATTCAAGTTTGTTCAAATCATGACCCCCCGGGGGTAGGGTGGGGCCACAATGGGGGATCAAAGTTTTACATAGGAATACATAGGAAAAATCTTTAAAAATCTTCTCAAGAACAGCAAATCCATGATTGGTCATATTTATATGGAAGCATCCTCAGGTAGTGTAGATTCACGTTTGTTCAAATCATGACCCCCGGGTGAAGGGTGGGGCCACAATGAGCGATCAAAGTTTTACATAGGAATATATAGGAAAAATCTTTAAAAATCTTCTTCTTAAGAACAGCAAACCCATGATGGGTCATATTTATATGGAAGCATCCTCAGGTAGTGTAGATTCAAGTTTGTTCCAGTCATGACCCCCGGGGGTAGGGTGGGGCCACAATGGGCGATCAAAGTTTTACATAGGAATTTATAGGGAACATCTTTAAAAATCTTCTTCTCAAGAACAGCAAAGCCATGATTAGTCATATTTAAATGGAAGCATCATCAGGTAATGTAGATTCAAATTTGTACAAATCATGATCCCCTGGAGAATAGAGGGGCCATAACAGGGGATCATACAAAGGAATACAAAGGATATATCAATCAAAATTTTCTGCTTAAGAACAGCAAAGCCATTATTTGTCATATTAATTCAAAAGCATCCCTATACAGTTTAGATTCAAGTTAGTTCAAATAACCAAACAACCCCCCCCCCCCCGAACCAGTTTTATATTTAATTTTATATTTAAACTTTTCAAGACTGAACTGATTTCTGCTTTTTCCTAGCCAGAGTGCGCAGGTGAGCGATGTGGCCCCTGGGCCTCTTGTTAAGGAGAAGGGGGTGCTTTATTATCTTCTTTGTCAAGTCGATAAACTTTTCAGTCGAATCATCTCGTTATATTTACAATCACGAAGAAAGGCCTTGTAAGGTAAATAAAGGTCTAGAAATGGTGTACTCATGAATTCATTTGATGCGCATAATCATTCTGACAATTATGGGTAGAATTTAAATTATTGTGATCAATAATAATGATGATAATGTGAGTCAATTCATGTACATTAAATCATTTCATTCAAATCTCGAAATTTGTAAACTGGTTTCTTTTAATGAGATGACCCCAATTGATTTTAAGATTGCAAGATCAAGGGTAAAACAACTCAAGACAGTAGGAAAATGTCCGCTTAAATGACATCAAACTTGGTACATTAGTTCCAAGTTAGGAGATGATTTCTGTAGATTTTGAAATCACAAATTAAATATCAAGGGTCAAACTCGACGTATGAAGATATTGACCGCTCAATATTTTGAAAATTCTTTGATTAATAAATATCAAACTTGATTCATCTCAAGGAGTAAATAACTCCTGTTGATTCTGAGGTTACATTGAAAAGGAATTAACTGGACATGGAAGATATACGCCTCTCAATATCTTGAGAATACTTTGCTTGACTGACAAACCTTGTGTTTCTCAAGGAGTAGATAACCCCATGGATATTAAGTTAACAAAGTTAAAGCTCAAGTCTTAAACTTTACATACGAAGACGTTGTCCGCTCAATATCATGAGAACCCTTTGTTTGACAGACATCAAACTTCGTACAATGATTTTCTCTGAGGAATAGATTACCCATATTGATTTCGAGGTCACAAGTTCAAAGTTCATGGGTCAAACTACTCAAGAGAGGAAGATATTTTCACAAGCCTTTGTTTGACTAAGGATTCTCAGGGAGAAGATATAGATGACACCTATTCATTTTGAGGTAACAAAGTCAAGGGTAAAACTGGACATAAGAACATATTGACCCCTTAATATCTTGAGAACCCTTTGTTTGAAAGTTAACAAACTTTGTACACTGGTCCTCCTAATGAGTAGATAACCCCTGTTGATTTCAAAAGCACAAGGTCAAGGGTCAAACTTGACACAGGAAGATACTGGCCGCTCAGTATCTCAAGAATCCTTAAAGTAAAATACGCCTTATTATATCAAGGTCTAGCTGACAGCTCTACATGAAACTTCGAATCATGTTTGCTCCTGACCAGTAGATAACCAATTTATCACTATCATTACAGACATTCTAAATTTAAAGTAGATCCATTATTTTACATTGACACATGGGGATACTAGTATATGTTTCTAAAACATTCAATAATAACCTGTAATCAATATGACCTTTTCAACAGCAACAATTTCTACACTACATAATTGTACATCAGTGCAGTTCCATCGTCATAAAAAATTATGCAAGAACCATTGGGATTTAAACCTCAAACCAAACCATCCGGTTCCCTGCGGTAAAACTTTCTATAGATATAAAAGTCCAGCTATAAAATCACAGTCTGCTAACTTGTGAGCTTTAGTTCCATCCAAAAAAAAAAAAAAAAAAAAAAAAAAAAAAAAAAACAACTCCGTTAAAGAAGCATGTTACATATTATGTACTTTCACAAAATTTTAAGCGTTAGTGACATTTCCTCTCCAAGAAATATTGACGCTTCAGTGTCTTGACAAGAAAGTTTTACAACTTCCAGCCCATAAATTGTGAAGTGGAACAGTGAAAAGGCCCTTCATAGAAATCCTGGGTCCAAACTTGGTCCCCGGCATGGAGGGAGAGAATAACGAGACAGTCTGATAGTTCTGAAATCAAATGATTGTCTCCCCGACATCCGCTAACTCGATTTCTGTTGACCATGAAGGGCGTGGCATTTGTGATGTTATTGATGCTCAAATCGGTCATGTGGAACATGTATACGCCATCTATAGGAGCAGTGAATATACCGGAACTTGAGTTGAATGCGCCTCCTACATTTGTAGAAATATTTGGATACAAGATCCCTCTCAGCTGAAATTGGTTACCAATGGCCCCTGTCGCGGAAAATGCTACATCCTTGTCTTGCACTAAAAAATAAAAAGTGAAATATTTTTGTAAATCGATCGTCTCTTAAATCATCCAGGGGCAGTTCATGTAAGTTCCATTTGGAATGTCGAAATGTAGTAAAAATTTAATACATGTATAATATAGCAATTTGAACTAAAAGTTTTGCATTGTTTAGCTTTATAAATAAAATCTTTTTAGATACAAATCAGTTTTACAACACTCAAAGCAGGTACTTACATGCAAGTTGATCAACTGAGCTTTTCGTGAAATTAAGAGTAGACTGCAATCCATTTACTTTGCTTACTAGTTCAGAAAAAGACTTTTGGCTAACAATATTTGTATGTACAGCTGAGCAACATTTCATCTGCAAATTTTGAACTGTATTAAATAAGTTTTTGAGCAACTCGATTTCTAACGACACATTTTTCAGAGTTCCCTCAAAACGCTTTTCAAACAAATTTTGCTCGAGTTGAATGAACAACACGGATACATTTGTGGCTTTATCAACTATTGAAATATCGTTCTCAAGTTTGCTGATGTTGTGCACAATATGTTGTTCCAATTTATCATTCTTCGTTTTCAAAGTTGCAATACCTTGATTTAGCAAAACATTCTGTTGTTTCAGATCGGCATTCAACATGGTGACGTTAGTTAGTTCAGCCTGAAGGGATTTAATATCCGCTTTTAAGGAAATCAGCTCTGACCTGTAATTTGTCATTTCGTTTAACAAAAATGTTGTCAATTGGCTGTCCTGTCCAGAGGATCCCAGAAACTGTCCCAACAACAAAGTGAGAAACAACTTTTGCAGCATGACTGACCAACACGAAAGACAAATGTTTTCCTCTTGTTAACTGAACAGTATGTCAAAGTCGTCGCCAAATACTCCCATCACGGACTTCGAGGATTATTATCGGCTTTTGGCCTTGTTTCAATTAAGATAAATTCAGAAGACTGACCTCCTTCCCCTGGGTAATGTTCGGCTTATTTTGGATAGGAATTGACCTCTTTGTTAATGAATGAGTTATAAACTGATACTGTATCTCATTCGTATTATCCCCATGAATTTGTAATTGCAAAGGAAAAAGTGAAACAGTCCTTTGGTTTTGTTCAATTATATTTTTTTCTAAACGTAAGGAGCGAAAGATATCGAAAGCAATGCTAGGCAATCTATCTACTTACTTTTGGGTTTTATTTATTGTGTATTCAATGAATATATACTAATCCTTGCATTTGATGTCATCTTGCACGTAATGAAAAATAAGATTGCAAAACCCCAGAAAAGTTTTCACCATGTGTATAGTTTGTTTGTTTGTTTATTGTTGTTTAACGTCCCTCTCTGGAATTTTTCACTCATATGGAGACGCCACCACTTGCCGGTGGAGAGCTGCAAATTTGACCTATACTCGGCTCTTAGGGCCATTGAGCAGTGGGGGATCTTTTTCGTGCCAGCACCTACTGCGACACGGGACCTCGGTTTATATCCGAAGGTTCGGTCTTCACGTCTCACAGTGGGATTCGAACATTTATTTATTTACGCCTTCTCCTGGGTTTTCGAAACATCATTCCTTCAAGAAGTATCAAATTCTTAAGATACATCAACTCAGTTATTTTACTTGATTAGGAATCACAGTTCACAAAAGATCCGTAGATTCAGGTACAACAAACAAGGCTCCATCTTAGTCATAGTTTTCTTCCGAAAATGAATGTGGAATAAAACCTCTATTTTTTTTTCAGAATAAATGTGTGTTTTTAAACAATAAGGTCATGTAAAGCAAAAATTTTTTACCATTTGTAGATCGAATGTATTCAATGATAATTTAATTCTGGTTGTAGCGCCATTTGATTGGATAGAAAATTCGTTTACATATATATATATATATATATATATATATATATATATATATATATATATATATATATATCATATAAACTATGTTGCCTGCGACACAATGAATTATGTCAATCCACTTGACGTTTTATTTAGAAATTTATTGCCATTCAGTGTAAAAAAAAATCCTTTTAATAGAAAAAAGGCTTAATTTTTACACTGAATGACATTAAATTAAATTATAAGGATTAAATTTAATAGCTACCAAGTTATACTTGGATAATCTGCTTTGGAACAGTTCACGTTTTTTTTTAAATAAAAAAAGCGGAAAATGCACCAACCACAGGTTATACAGTATAAATTGGGTAGCTATTAAAATCATTCCTTAAATATTGCCAAAATAAAGTCTCACCTTTTTCCTTGTAATCGTTATGCAGGAAAAAATATTCTGAAAAATGTTTATCCTATACCAAATGTTAATGTTCAGTCTGAGCGTTGGTCGAAAGCCTACTACGTGGCAATTACAAATTTTGGTCCCATTGTTCTTGAAAGAAGACTTTTTAAAGAATAGTAAGGATAGGCTTTCAATGAAAATTTCGACTCACTATTGTGGCCACAACCTTACCCCGGGGGTCATGACTTCTATAGTACCTGTAGTACATGTATCATCGACTCCCTGTCGTCAAGATCTCTTTCATAAATTTTACTTTTTAAACATTTACATATTAAAAAAACATTTTTTTTTTTTTACTTTTTTATTTGTTTTAACATTAACAATTTCCCCTACCCAGCGTCTAAAGGAGAGTTTGGACAAGGCGTTGTAGTTTTTTAGCCATCTCACGTCGTCCCTGGAAAGAAAATGCATGTAAATTTTCAGAAATAAGTAAAATTTCAAGAAACCAGATTGATTTGTCTAATACCAATTAAAAATCTCAGAACTACATATAAATTCATTTTAATTTTAATTCCAAGCAAGAAATATTGACAGTGTTGAATTTATTTTGTTTAACTTTGTTTTCACTGTTTTAGAAAAAACAATTTTCAGGAATATATCTCGTGGAATCTCAAATGTTATATCAAACCCTGGGGAAAAATGAGTCAATAGCGATTGTAATCGCTTGATAAGGTGTATGTACGTGTAGCCGTGCTATTTGGACTGTGTATATAAAGTAATAATATACAATTGATATGAAAACCGTCTTTTGACAAAAATGTGTAAATAAATGTGTATGGCACAAAACAGTGTTTGTTAAAGACCACAAGGCACAATATAGGGCTAACTTTCTAAAAACAGAAAACAAGCATGCAATATATATACATGTATTCAAAGCTATAACGTTTGAATTACAAAATTGATACAGCAATGTATTTCAACCTGACTTGGTGTATACTTCCGTGGTATTGCATACATTCAGTGCAAGCTCATTTCGTAAAATCGTTTCACCACTTCAAAGCAAGTGCAAATTTGTCAGGCATAAAACTTTTAACACAAAATTTATTGAACACTTCAAACAGTATAGAGTAGATTACATACAGACTTTAAGTGATTTATTTTTACCATGCTGACCAATATATTTATAATTTTCATATAAATGGTGTACATTCAGATTTTATATACTATTTTATGCTTATAAAGGATCCTGATTTTTGCTGATGCTGACAATTTGATTTTGACACATGAACAATGTACAAGATTGTGCTACAATAACAAGCCTTATTTTCATTTTTGTTATAATCGGCTTCGTCTAATCACAGTTCAAGTGGAAAATGAAACAAATTGCGCGAATATGACTTTGCTTCATACTGATAGTTTCAGGTAAATTTTTCATAAGATGTTACGAAGTCTTTTTTTTCATTATATTTTCTTACAGATGCAAACGTGTATGCATTAAAATTGTGAATAAATGTACGCTGACATCTTGAACGGAAGAGCACTTTTTTGTTGAGTAAAGTTAATATTTCTTGATTTTCTTATTCATTGTTAAAGTAAATCTGAGAGTTATGGTCTGATTTTCTCGCCTAGCGCTGAGTGTTGGTACAATCTTGGCTTTCATACATGCTAGGTGCTATATTCTTTCTTATGTTTTTACGTGCATTGTGCAATATTTTCTGCTTTTATACATACCCCTTGATATTTAACCTTAATATGCCAAACACAAATAAAATTAACATAACTTAAAATGATTAAAACACGACAACAATTCCTAGAAGAAAGTAATTAGATACCTGGTAATACGACTCCTAATAAAGACATTGACAAAAGACAGTTACTGTATCATTGATATATCCCTTCATAAAATAGCACACATTAAAAAACACAGAAATCCCTACTCCACATTGTATTATTTTCATCATAACGTACATGTAGTTTTTAATAATTATAATATACCCACACTTCCATAAATATAAGAATATAAGAGATAAATTTATGATTTTTTAACATGATTTATAGAATCTTTCGATATGTAATTTTGAGCAGTCTTAAAAATAATCTTTTATCATATTTCATCCCCTTTTATTTTACTGAAATTACTTATTCATGTACATAAGTTGAAATTTAACCCTTAGAACCTGAAGTATAATTATCAACACAAGTTGAATTATTAAAGTAGATTTAATTTGTACATATATTCTCAAAATTCACATGCAAATCTTTTCATTGTCAGACTACATAAAAGATTTAGAATTTTATGATGCAACACTTTAAATTCAAAACTTACATCTCGTTCGTCCTTGACCAGATTGTATTCGTCGTTGTATATCCGGTGCCCTCCATTTTGTGTCATGTGGTGAGGGATATCTTTTGTTCCATGCAGTATTAGGCGCGCCGATTTTATAGTTCCTCTATTATTTTTTCCTTTCTGTAAGGAAAATACGTGTTCTAAAATTTTTTTTTTTATTTCGACGAATGGAGTTGCCATGTTTACTGAAAGTAGAAAGGACAAGTAGGCTAAGACCCTTTTTTGGCCCCTTGTTTGGGTGTCTTTTAGAATGATGCAACACTGTTTATCAATAAAAACCTGTTGTCACCCCTGCCACAAAATGAGTATTAGTTCTAAGTTATGGGATACACAGAGGTCACAGGAAGGTCAGGAAATATGTCAATTTCCGAATTTTCCCATTTTTATGCAAATTTTCATCGATTTTACAGTACATTTTTTTTTTCAGAAAACATAGAGCACAAGCTTGCCTACCTACCAAATTTATATATTTCATATACTAGTATCAGATGCATCCTAGGTATGAAAATCTCAGATAGGCATGCTTGTGCTCAAATATGACAAAATTTCACAAGAATTGAGGAAATTCGGGAAAATGTCTTACTTCTGCACCCTCTTGTGGCCTCCGTGTGAGCTTTGAATCAAAATTAGTGTTGGTTTTAAAACAAGCATCACTTTAAGTTCTTCACTACAAACAATCACAATTTTAACTGTGTTCTGATTTTCACATCAAATAAGGGGCCAGATTCGGCCGTTACCATACCTTGTCCTTTCTGTGAAATACTTTCAAAACGATACCCGAACTACAGTGTTGGTCCCTTTTCAATAAAACTTTATGAAAATGTAGACTATATTTACTCATTTTTGTGAGATTTTTTTTCAAAATGCTCTTTTATACCTCCTACAATTTTGGTCTGATTTCAAACAAACTTGGTACATAAGTAGATAAACTAAGATACTTAATTCTGAGTATTGGTTTTTGATTATGATGAACGACGTTGCAATGATTACTTTAAATAGAAATTTCTGTGAAATTCTTTCTAAATTCTACTCCTCCTACAGTTTTGATCTGATCTGCACTAAGATTTATAGTTCTCTTCATTTGGGATTTACAATGTAGTTTTAGATAAACAATGTTGCAAAGCTTACTAAAAATGGTATAATGTTTGAATTACTTCAATAGGCTACACCTCCTTCTGTTTTTTGGTATGAATTTAATTAAACTAGGTGCAAAAGTAAACCATACATCATAATTATATTTAT